CAACACATACTGGTGAAGTAGTGTAAACAGTTTTTATTTATTTGTAGGTTAGGAAGAAATGCATGCCTGTTATTGGTGCTATCATGTCTAGAGCAGAGGTGGGCAAACTATGGCCCGCGGGCCACATCCAGCCCATGGGACCCTCCTGCCCGGCCCCTGAGCTCCTGGCCCCCGGCCCTTCCTCCGCTGTTCCCTCTCCCCTGCAGCCTTATCTCACTGCACCGCCAGCACAATGCTCTGGGCGGCGAGGCTGTAGTGCTGCCAGCCACCGGTGCTCCAGGCAGTGTGGTAAGGGGGCAGGGAGCGGGTGTGTGTGTGTGGATAGAGGCCAGGGGAGTTCAGAGCGATGGACAGGGGGCAGAGGGGGTGGATAGGGGTCAGAGGGCAGGAAACAGGGGGGTTGAATGGGGGCAGTCAGGAAGGAGGGGGGGCTGGATGGGTCGGTGGGGGGCAGTCAGGGGCACGGGTTCCAGGAGCGGTCAGGGAGAAAGGGTGGTTGGATGGGGCAGGGGTTCCGGGGGGCAGTCAGGAATGAGAGGAGGGGTTGGATGGGATGGCAGCGGCAGTCGGGGCGGGAGGTCCAGGGGCGGTCAGGAAACAGAGAGGGGTGGATGGAGCAGGGGTCCCGGGGGGCAGCAGGGGACAGGGAATGGGGGGGGTTGGATGGGGCAGGAGTCCCGCAGGGGCCATCAGGGGGCAAGAAGCAGGGGGGGTTGGATGGGGGCAGCAGCTGGGCCACACCTGACTGTTTGGGGAGGCACAGCCTCCCCTAACTGGCCCTCCATACAATTTTGGAAACCCGATGTGGCCCTAAGACCAAAAAGTTTGCCCGTCCCTGGTCTAGAGGCATACAAACATTATTTGGAAGTAACTGGTCTCATTTAAATTGAATGGTACAGTTTTAGTCACTTATTTTTTATATTTAATTTTAATTAAATTTTAATTACTGAAATTAATTCTGTAAGTCTGAAATCCTGTCAGGAGTATTGTAATAACAGTAATCATGCCCTGCAAGAGTTAACATGTAATACTATTATATAACAACAGAGGGCAGACTTTGATAACTAGGACTTTGTATGAAGTATTTATAGAGCAGATCAGACCTCTGTATCACAAAACTGTAACTTCTTAAAATCTAAATTGGACGCAGCAAACTCCAGCAGATAGCAAGCAGAGTAAAATCCTTTTAAATCTTCCCCTTTCTCCCCCCACCACCTTTTTATTTACTCTATCCATTAAAAGAAGATTCTTTTTATCTTTCACTTATAGGCTGGGTTGTGAGCTAAGAGCTTGCTGACTTGCTTGACAGGACAATAAACACTAAAATTAGAGGACTGCTGTGATTTGTGCACATGTAGATTTACCATTTGATAATGATAAACATCACAGGCCTAATCCTGCAGTCATTGAAATCAGTGGCAAAATTTCATGAGTTTGGTAGTAGAAAGATCACATCCCAAATCCACTCCGTTACATATTTTATCACAATTTAGTCTTAATTTTATTGAAAAATATAGGAAATCCATCCAGTTAATAAACTGCACATTGAAATTGTCTGTATTTTGAATATAGATATTTTAAAATCCAACTCCTTAAAATGGATTTCTCACTCTTGTCCTGCAGCCAAAGGGGTTACAGCTCTTAACAAACCAGAGATCAATAAGCAGTGTTAGAATGCTTAAAAATGAGGTAAAAATACAAATGAACTAGTGAGAAGATGGGATGGCCTCTCAAGGGTGTGTAGTCTGATTTAGTGAAACATCACAGCAAACATTAAACTCTGTTTAAAACAAACGGATACATCTTGAAAGAGATTTAAGCGACACTCCCTGTCGCCCCATCCACTCTCCCGTTGCGCCCCCTCATGCCCCGCTCGTGCGGCAGGACGGGGTGGAGTTTTCGGGGGATGTTGCGTTGGGGTTGGGGAAGCTGTGGGTGCTGGCTCCCGGGTCCCGAGGGGAGAGGGGCCTGCCCCACGTGGCTGTCTGTGGCGACACGGCTGCCCACAAGGTCCTGGTCCCCTCCCCTTTCCCGGGTTACGACGGTGCCAGGGACCGGGGCGCGGTCGGGGTGGGAGGGCGAGACTCATCAGGAGAAAGCGTATGGAGGGTGACAGAAAGTCAGGGAGAGAAGGAGCGGGCGGCACGCGCGTGTGACTGTGGAAGAAAAGAGGGTTCATGAGGGCGCCCAGGTTTCGAACCCCCCCCCCCATCTCCTCCGTTCGCCGCCTCTGCCTGTCGTTTTCCCCTCTCCTTGGCCGATGACGCCCCCCCCCCCCCGGTTAGTCTCTAAGGTGCCACAAGTCCTCCCTTTCTTTTTGCGGATACAGACTAACACGGCTGCTACTCTGAAACCTGTCAGGTTAAAAATTTCCTTACCTGTGTAAGATTTTGATTATCAAAAGTTGACTTCTGAAATGACTGCACTTTTTATTAGTTATATTGTTTGATTTATCTTTTTTTTTAATAAGATGAACAGTGAAAATCCTAGTCAGTTTTGCTTTGTTTGTGATTGGTTTCTAATCTATTTTCACATTCTGGCTTTAATGTCCTTTTAAAGAAATTTGGACTATATGAGTTGCAAACATTGGTTGGAGAATTTTTTTTTAACAGTTTCTACTGAAATTAATGAGAGCATTCATATTGGACCAACAATGGGTGAAAGCTTCTTTTTAACAAAACTTACATGGGGTCAAATTTAAAAGGACAAGACCCCTTTAACAAATTAACATATGTTGGTGAAGGAGGATGTTCCTTTACATTGGATTCTACCATTCCCCAACCCCAAAATTTCTGTTTAAAAATAAAACCCAGACAATTTTACTCCAGAGCTTGAAATATGGGGTTCTTCCATCACCTGGTACGCTGGTAATCTCCCTCACTCCATCCCTTTTATAAAGGGTCATCTCTAATGCTAGATTTCTTAATGTGAGGGATATTCTTGAATGTGGGAGACATTTGTGCCACTTCTTCATCTTTCATTAAAGACAAGGGAGCAGAAATTTAAAAGAAAATGTAAATGTAGTGTACACTGATTTGTATAATGTTGCAATTAACAAAATAGAACCTTATTAGTTGTCTGTCTCTTTCTAATTAGGTTCTTATAATAGCCCCTAGGTGTTTCCATCCCTATAAGAAAATGTTGCAGGCTTGAAATATAGTAATTATAACGGTCACAAAAATGCTTTTAATAATAGTTGTATTCATATTATACTAAAATAAATATGGATTTGCTGGTCACAGAGTGACCCATCTAGGACTGTAAAGGTGTCACCTCCGTGATATCCATCATACCAAATTGCTAAAATAATTCCAGCTACGTCCACATCACTGATACAAATAAGTTGCTTTCATTACGTATTCCAGGGCTGTTGCCACCTTGTCTTCCACATTCAATGCTCCATCTAGAAAACAATAGGTCACTTTATTATGGTTCCCTTAGCATAGACATTAACTGATTTCAAATAAAATCTGTTTTCTAAGACTTATTTCCCCGCATCCTTTTTGTTTTGAATTGCCTATAACTCTGTTCCAGGGCTATTTTTACAGAATGCATTTCCATTTTCATGAGAGAGAGAAGTTGAGATGACAAACTTGATAACTGAAAGGCCATGTGCCCTTATTAAAAATCCAAAGGGAAACTAATACCTTTGCACGTTTCTACTCCTTGTAGTTTCTATTTAGTTTTTAAACCCAAACATACAAACACAAGGGGCAGAAAGAGCTTTAAACTTTTATTCTTCCACTGCTCAAACCACTCACCTCTAAAGAGTGAAACTGGATATAACTTAAGGTGTTTTGCCCTACAGATATTTATCAGTTTTCTTTCTGGTGCAAAGAAATGTGATGCTGACAAGCAGATTTCTAACACAGTTTGCACTCTAATTATTGCAACAAAAACAGAGTCATATATCTCTCAAATGACAGCTCTGCGCTGTGCCTGCTTTCTCAGCGCCTTGGGGCACTTTTTCCCTTAGCCTCCTCCGGGTTTCCAGCTTCACCGTCCTCCCTCCCTCCCTCTCTCTCCATTAATTTCTCTTCCTTGCCAATTATAGACAACTCCTCTCCCTCTTTTAGCTCTGAAAAGAAAAGAAAGTGCCCCCCACCAATTCTTGGATTTATTAACTCATAGTTCCCCTGAGCAATTCCTAGGATTGTTTCCTCTGCTCTAGGCGGTATTTTGTAGAAGCTGCAGTAGGCTGGAGTAGTTTCATTCATTGGAAGTGGGGAATGACGCCTTGTTAAGGATGAATTTGAAGGCAGTAAGAAAAGGAGGACTTGTTGCACCTTAGATACTAACCAATTTATTTGAGCATAAGCTTTCGTGAGCTACAGCTCACTTCATCGGATGCATTCAGTGGAAAATACAGTGGGGAGATTTATATACATAGAGAACATGAAACAATGGGTGTTACCACACACCCCTCTCCCCTGGCGGTGCTGGAGAATTTAGGTAGAAGGGAGAGTCCTCTCCTTGCTGGAGAGTGCTCGGACGGGGCGAGACTTTCCCTTTGCAGAGAGGGATGGTGGGGGGGCAGCGTGTGTTAGCACCCTAGGATCTGGCTGCTGGGCTTTCCCAGAGATTTCACACCCTCCCTGCGCTTGCAGGACTCTGTTTCCCCTGCTGCCAATGGCACGGGGAAAGCAGCCTTCCCAGCTCTCGTTTGTTGCCAACCCTCCAAGTCGGGAGGGGGGGACGGAACTCCGCTGCTTTTCCCGCGGCGCCCCTCCAAACAACCTGTTGCAAGGAGAGGGGGAGGGGGTTCGGGCCTCTCGCCACTTGGACGATTGGCAACTCTTGCTGACCAATCCCTGCCGCCGACAGCACTCCCGTGAGTGCTTATTGGACAGCGTGGGGCGAGAAGGGGGGGAGCAGGGAGGGGTTTCGCAGCGGGCTAGGGGGCGAGTTTATAACGCAGCCTGCTCGCCGGGCTGCGGAGCGGCAGCTCGGGCCCGGGGGCTGCAGGCAGGGCAAGGGGGCTTGGCTGCGCCGCGCGGGCTGAGACGGGACTCGCTTGGCTTGTGCTCGGCAGGCAGGGACCATGCAGGGCAGCCCCGCCGCGCGGACTCTGCTGCCCGCGCTGCTGATGCTGCTGCTAGTGGCGGGCAGGGGCGGCGGGGTCCGGGCGCAGCAGCCGCCCCCGCCGGGCAGCCCCGCGTTCTCCTACCCCTCGGCGCTGGGACCCCCGGAAGACGCCTCCATCGTGGTGGCCAACCGCGGGCTGCGCGTGCCCTTCGGCCGCTCCGTCTGGCTGGACCCGCTGAGCGACCTGGTGCTGCAGGTGCAGCCGGGGGACCGCTGCCACCTGCGCGTCTTGGACGACGACCCCCTGTGGCTGCGCCCGGGCCGCCTGACCCCGCCGCGCTTCCCTTGCGACTTCGGCCCCGGGGAGGTGACGTACTGGCACCTGGGCTCCCGCAGCCCGTCCCGGGACCGGGTCCGCCTGCAGCTGCGCTACGACTCGCCCAGCCGCGCCGTGGTGCTGCCCCTGGCGCTGGAGGTGGAGGTGCTCTTCGCCCAGCTGGAGATCGTCACCCGCAACCTGCCGCTCACCGTGGAGAGCCTGCTGGGCACCAGCAACGCGCTGGACGGCCGCAGCCTGGAGTTCGCCTTCCAGCCGGGCAGCCAGCGCTGCAGGGTGGGCGCCCTGCCGGGGCTGGGCGGGCTGCCCCGCTACGGGGAGCTCCTCAGCCTGCCGGCTGCCCCGTGGCATGCCTCGGCGGCCGGCGCCCCGTCGCCCTCGCTCTGGTGGGAGTGCGAGGAGTTCCTGCGGCTGGGGCTGCGCTACCGGCACGCGGCGGCCGGCCGCTCCCCGAACCGAGACTCGCTGCCCCTGGTGGTGGAGCTGCGGGAGGCGGCGGGCGCCGGCGCGCTGCTGAAGCGGGAGCATTTCCAGGTGCTGGTGCGGATCCGGGCGGGCGCCGAGAACACGCCGCCCCGGCCCAGCTTCGTGGCCATGCTGATGATGGAGGTGGACCAGTTCGTGCTCACCGCCCTCACCCCGGACATGCTGGCGGCCGAGGACGCCGAGTCGGCCCCGGACCTGCTGCTCTTCAACATCACCTCCCCCTTCGGGCCGGGCCAGGGCCACGTGGTCAGCACCGACGACCGCAGCCTGCCCATCGCCTCCTTCAGCCAGCGGGACGTGCGGGAGCTGCGGGTCGCCTACCAGCCGCCGGCGGAGGACTCGGCCCGGGAGCGGCTCTTCGAGCTGGAGCTGGAGGTGCTGGACCCCGAGGGCGCTGCCTCCGAGCCCTTCGCCTTCATGATCGTGGTGAAGCCCATGAACACGCTGGCGCCCGTGGTGACCCGCAACACAGGCCTGGTGCTCTACGAGGGGCAGTCGCGGCCGCTCTCCGGCCCGGGCCCCAGCCCCAGCCTGCTCATCAGCGATGAGGACGACCTGGAGCAGGTGCGGGTCAGTGTGCTGGCGGGGCTGCGGCACGGGCACCTGGCCCTGCTGGAGGAGCCCCTGGCCCTGCTGGGGGAGTCCCAGGCCCGCAAGCACTTCACGGTGGCCGAGCTGATGGCTGGCCGCATCATCTACCAGCACGACGGCAGCGAGTCCCCGCTCAGCGACAACCTGGTGCTGCGGCTGGAGGACGGCGGCGCCCGGCACCGTGTCGAGTTCCTCTTCCCCATCACCCTGGTGCCCACCGATGACCAGCCGCCCCTGCTCAACGCTAACACGGGGCTGTCCTTGGCTGAGGGCGACATGGCCCCCATCCCCGCCCGTGCCCTCAGCGCCACCGACATCGACTCAGACGACGCTACACTGCGCTTTGTGCTGGAGTCCGGGCCCGGCGCAGGGCAGCTGCTGCTCCGTCAGGCCCAGCCACCCCCGGGCTGGGAGGGTGAGAATGGGGGCTCCCCCTGGAGGAGGGTGCTGGGCTTGCCTGGGGATCCCCCAGTGTACGAGAGGCTGGTGAGTGAGTGGCTGCAGCAGGACATTGTGGAAGGGCGGCTCTTCTACCAGCACCTCGGGCACCCCGGCCCCAGGGTGGTGCTGGACCAGTTTGTCTTTAGGGTCCAGGATGACAACGACCCACCCAACCGCTCTGGGCCCCAGAGCTTTGTGATCCGGGTGCACCCAGTGGACCGCCTGGCCCCAGTGCTTCATGGTGGCAGCAGCCTGCGTCTGGTGGTGGCTGAGCAGCAGGTAACCCCACTGCGGAGGAAGCACCTGCGCTATACAGATCAGGACTCTGGGGACCGGGAGATCCACTACACCGTCACCCAGCCCCCCACTGACACAGACTCCAACCACCCCGGGGGGGCCAAGGGCACCCGCCTGGGATCACTGGTGCTGACTGATGACCACTCAGTGGAGGTGATGCATTTCACCCAGGCCCAGATCAACCACCACAAGATCTCCTACCGGCCCCCACAGCAGGAGCTGGGGGTGGCTCCCCGCCTGGCTCAGTTCCAGTACCGGGTGGAGGATGCAGCTGGTAATGCTGCCCTAGGCACCTTCACCATCTACCTGCAGCCCATAGACAACCAGCCCCCTGAGATAACCAACAGCGGCTTTACTGTGTATGAGGGGGGAAGGCATGTGCTGGGCCTGGCTGAGCTGGATGCTAGTGACACTGACACTGAGCCCACTCACCTCGAGTTCACCCTGACCCAGGCTCCCCAGCATGGACAATTGCAGCTCTCTGGGCACAGCCTGGCCATGGGAGCAGCCTTTGGTTTAGAGGATATTAAACATGGCAGGTTGGTCTATGTGCACAGTGGTGCTGAGTCTCACAATGATGCCTGTAGTCTGGATGTGACTGATGGGGTCCATGTGGTGCCCATCACACTGAAGGTGACCGTGCACCCTGTGGATGATGAGGTGCCCACCTTACGGCTGCCCCCAGGGACACTTGGCTCCTACTTGGACGTGCTGGAGAATGGTGCGGCTGAGATCACCGCTAATGTCATCCAGGGCACGGATGAGGATACGGATGATCTGATGCTGACTTTCATTGTGGAGGACCCTCCCCAACATGGGGACATCCTGTTCCAGGGTGTGCCTGCAGAAAGGTTTTCCCAGAGAGACGTGCTGGATGGGGCTGTGGTATATGCTCACACAGGTGGTGAAATAGGGCTGCTGCCCAAAGAAGATACTTTTAACCTCACTCTTTCTGACCTGTCTGAAGAGTGGAGCATTGGGAGCAATGTTGTTCAGGGAGTTTCAGTGCTGGTGACCATCCTTCCTGTTGACAGTCAAGCCCCTGAGGTTTTTGTGGGGGAACACTTAATGGTAGTGGAGGGTGACAAAAGGGTCATTACACATGCCCACTTAAGGGCTGAAGATGTGGATACACCCAGTGATGATATTCTGTGCACCATAGTTGCTCAGCCCACCTCTGGTTATGTAGAGAACATCTCTCCAGCCCTAGGATCTGAAAAGTCCAGAGCAGGTACAGCTATAAGTGCCTTTACTTTGAAAGACCTCAGGCAAGGGCACATTTTTTACGTTCAAAGCATCCATAAGGGTGTGGAGCCTGTTGAAGACAGGTTCACTTTCCGCTGCTCTGATGGCATTAACTTTTCCGAAAGGCACTTCTTCCCCATTGTCATTATTCCAACCAATGACGAAGAGCCTGAAATCTTTATGCGAGAGTTTGTAGTGATGGAAGGCATGAGCCTGGTTATTGATACTCCCATCCTCAATGCAGCAGATGGGGACATCCCTGCTGATGAACTGACCTTCACTATCACTAAGTTTCCCAAGCATGGCCACATTGTGAACCAGCTGATCAATGGGACTGTCTTAGTGGAGAGCTTCACCCTGGATCAGATAACTGAGAGCTCCAGCATTATCTATGAACATGATGACTCTGAAACAAAGGAAGACAGCTTTGAGGTGAAACTCACAGATGGTAAACATGCTGTAGAGAAAACTGTGCTCATCATGGTTATTCCTGTGGATGATGAGACACCCAGAATGACCATCAATGATGGGCTGGAAATTGAAATAGGGGAGACTAAAATCATTCACAACAGAATACTGAAGGCTACTGATCTAGATTCTGAAGATAAAACCTTGACTTATGTTCTAAGGTATGGGCCAGGACAAGGGCTCTTACAAAGAATAAAACTTTCAGGTGGGGTTGAGAATATCACTCTTGGAATGAACTTTACCCAAGATGAAGTGGACAGAAATTTAATTCAGTACATGCATTTTGGCCATGAAGGTATTCGGGATCTTATCAAATTTGATGTTACAGATGGGATAAATCCTCTCATTGACAGATATTTTTATGTGACCATAGGTAGCATTGATATTGTCTTCCCAGACGTGATCAGCAAAGGGGTGTCCTTAAAGGAAGGGGGGAAAGTTACACTTACCACTGATTTACTGAGCACCAGTGACTTGAATAGCCCAGATGAGAACTTGGTTTTCAGTATTACCCGGGCACCTGTTCGTGGCCATCTCGAATGCACGGATCAGTCTGGGATGCCCATCACCACCTTCACTCAGCTCCAGTTAGCAGGCAATAAAATCTACTATATTCACACCTCAGAAGATGAGGTGAAAATGGACAGCTTTGAGTTTGAAGTGACTGATGGTTATAACCCAGTATTTCGCACTTTCCGAATTTCCATTAGTGATGTGGATAATAAAAAGCCAGTGGTCACAATCCATACCCTGGTGGTGAGCGAAAGTGAAAATAAACTGATAACCCCCTTTGAACTGACGGTGGAAGACAGAGACACCCCTGATATGTTGCTTAAATTTATTATCACCCAAGTGCCGGTTCACGGTCAGCTCATGTTCAATAACACCAAGCCGGTTACATCCTTTACCAAACAAGATCTGAATGAAAATCTTATAAGCTACAAACATGATGGCACAGAGTCAGCTGAAGACAGCTTCTCTTTCACTGTTACAGATGGGACCCATACTGATTTCTATGTCTTCCCTGACACAGTGTTTGAAACAAGGAAACCCCAAACAATGAACATTCGGATAATGGCCGTGGACAATAGTGTACCCCAAATTGTAGTAAATAAGGGTGCCCCTTCTCTCCGTGTTTTGACTACTGGCCACTTGGGTTTTATGATTACCAACAAAGTGTTCAAAGTGGAAGACAGGGACAGCTTGCACGTTACCCTCAAGATCAGGATCACAGAGGCTCCTCGCCATGGCTTCCTGATCCATCTGGGAAAAGGCAACCATAGTATCACTCAGTTCACACAAGGTATTTCCGTGTCTGGTACTCTGTCTTTAGAGCACTGGAAACATGCATGCAGGGAATGAAGCATACTTAATTCTGAAATAGTTGATCCCAGAAAGAGCCTGTTCACAGCGTTAAGGGCCTGATTCTTTTTTCTTTCTTTTTTTTTTTTTTTAATGTATATTTGTGGTAGTGTCCAGGTTCCCACAGAGAACAGCTACCAGTTGTGCTCGGTACTATACAAAGCGAATGAGAGAGACTGGGTGGGTGAGGTAATATCCCCCAATATTAGAGAGGCAAGGTAGGTGAGGTAATCTCTCTTGTTGGCCCAACTTCTGTTAGTGAAAGAGACAGGCTTTCAAACTACATGGCTGAAGAGCTCAGTGTAGCTGGAAAGCTTGTCTCTTTCACTAACAGACCTTGGCTCAGTAAAAGATACTGCCTCCTCTACCTTGTCTCAATAATACTGTGGGGCCAGCCTGGCTACAGTAACGCTGCAGACAAAAACGGAATAAGACTGTGCTTGTCCTGAAGATTTTACAATTTAAATAATTCTGCATCCTGTATTCATGTTGAGTATTAGTTACTCAAGGTCTTAGTCTAGCTACTCAACATGAGTACAGGTTACAGGATTGGTCCATAAAACATTAGAAACTCATAACTCTTTTCCCTCCCTCCCCCCAAGTTTTCCTTAGAAAATAATAGTTGACTGCTCCATTAGTAACTATCCTAGTCTATTTAAGGCACTGGTCATGTACTGCCTGGGTGCACTTTACATAGTTTAAAATTATCTCTAGGCCCAGGGAGCAAATATCTCACTACTACCTTATTGCCCTAATTGCACAAACTTTAAATCACCGAGTCTCTGTGGTAAAATAAGAGGTAATGTAAATATTTTAAATTATGTCAATGCTGCTTAGTTTTGTAAACTGTACTAGGTGGCATAGTTAGGATAGAACATATGTGGTTTCCATGCACTGAAATAAAGCCTTAAAACAAGGCTGTGGAATAACCACCTTCAGTCAAAAAGGGTGTATTATCTTTCCACTGGGGAGCTTTCAATATTATGTTGTTGTTAATTAATAGCTGGCTGAGTAAAAGTGAAATGGTGCTTCATAGAGCCTTAGGTGTAGTGAGTTTGTTTGCTTGAGTTGCAGATCCAGCAAACAGACCCCACAAACCTTACATATTTTGACTGAATGCCAAAGGTATCCCAAGAGTTGCAGTGATGGGCAAACTTTTTTTTTTATTTTTATTTATTTTATTTTTTAAAAGAAGCCCCAAATCATTGCAATATGGCAGGAAATTCAAGCTGCCTAAACTGTGGGAACCAGCACAGCTGATGTATAAAGAAACGTTCCCAGTGATGTTTTGTTAGGACTTTTTGAAGTGGTGAGTATCAGGGAGAAGTACAGAGGAGTAGGGAATATGCACTCTTCTGAGTGGAAATATTCCTTTTTAAGGGCCTTGTCTTACATTTGAGATAGACTGGGTCATGTGTATTCCTAGGAGCAAACCACAGCACAGCATTCCAGAAAGCAAGGAGGCTCATTTGTGAGAATACTGACAGCTTGTTACTGCCTGCCACTTGGTCGGCCCACCCACCTTGTTTGACAGATATGCAGCCCTCTGGCTGCTACATCCTGCATAGCAGAAGAATGGAGCATGCTGGAGGAAGAGATAGGATGTGTAAGAGGCTAAGCAGTGAAATTCTGCATGCTGTACGCAGCAGGGTGTATAACCCTGGTGCCGTATAAATGGTTGATTACCTAATCCAGCAGCAACCTAATTTGCAGCTATTGGGGAGTGCAGGAGTTACTACCCTCCACGCTTCCCCACAACACACCCATGCTACGGTGTGTCTGCACCTGGGCTTTTCTGCCAAAAACGTTCCACTGTTGCTACCAGCTGCTGTCTCCAACAGCAGTGCTGATGGTGCTAGTGCTAATGCAGTTAAGGCTTCAATCGGGCACCAGTGTTTTTAAGTGCACTGTGTGTGTGTCCCTGTTCAGAGCAGGTTTAGACAGCGTATTTATTAAAATGCCAGTGGCCTCCAGCACCTTGTCTGCAGTAGTCTACCACCGGTGGTAGGGGGGGAAATAAAAAAAGCCTCGTACAGACTAGGTCATGTAGGCATGTAGAACAGTCATAGGACGGAGAAGCATGTGCTTCCAAGAGGAGGGAGGCAAACCTGGCAGGTGCCTTCAGGTGAAGAAGAAAAACATGAGAGCAAGAGGTATGGGTTGGGGAAAGTAGCAGTTTTGGGAAGGAAAGGAGCAGTCCCACAGCAGGGCATTGGAGGAAACTCTAGGCATTGTGAAAGGCATGGGAGGAACTCCTGGTTAGGGACAGCAGTCTTGCAAAATTGGAAGGCCTTAGTCAAGGGCAAGTGTAGCCTCTCAAGTGAAGAAGGATGACATCAGCCCTGCTGGGAAGAGGGAAAGGGAAAAAGGCCCCACTTATAGGAAGCTGCAGGAGTATTAGTAAGGCAAACCTGGAGGTGGAAGATGTGGATGAAAGATCATTGATGCTCCCTTTTGCCCCAGATGCCCTCTTCACCATTTCTCCTACTGGGGGTGTGGAGAGGGTTATCAGTGCTGAGGAGCTTCAGCTTCTTGGCTAGACTTAGAAAGTTTAAGTTTCAGCAGGTAGTGAGAGAAGCTTACTCAGTCTTGTAGAGTGGGGGCCTGGACAGAATTCTGGGCCCAATTCGCTGATGCCCTGCACCTTGTGTAGTCATGACACTGGCATGAAGTGTGTAAAACATTACCAGATCCAGAATGGGTAGCCGTCTGCACCCTGTTCACTCTCATGCGGCACTGGTATAAATGATTACACAACATGCAAGGCAACAGCTTTTCTTTCTTCCTGTTGGACCTCTCCCATCTTTGGGGCCCACTGAGTACAGTTCTCCCCTCCCCCTTTTTTAGACTGTCAAGGGTCAGTTTTGACAATGAGAGTTTCCTGTTACTGACTCCATGAGTCTCCTACTGCCATCTATTTCTTTTTTTATCTTTTCCGTTTTTAAGGGCCCCATCTTGCAACATACAGAGAACCTCCTGTGAGGAGCTGAAAGCCCTCAGTGTTCATGAATGTCACTGGTTGCTGATAAAGCTCAGCCTCTTGCAGGAGGTATGCAGCAGTTTGAAGGCTCTGGTCCTAACCCCCCTTCCTTACCTCCCCCCCCCCCCAGGCCATTTTATTGCCATGAGTCTTAGCCTTAGAGCTTTAGCTATAGGATGGTGAACCAAGCATGGGGGAAGACACTTCTGCCCACATTGTTTTCCCATTCTTAAGATGGTGCCTCCATAACTATATTAATGAACAGACTGATCTGATAGAAAGAGAGAACTCCTCTGATTTCAGATCCACTGTGCTTTAGCAGCAACTGCCCCAGTGGGGAAAAATATTAGTCACACAATAACTTTTTGTGTACTATTTGGGAAGGCTACTTTTTCCGTAGCTGCTAATATTTTGCCAAATGCTGGAAAGAAAATCACTCAAATATTTCAGATAAACCACAAACTCCAATTGAAAACTCCAGAGTAGTAATTGGACACATCACGCACTATAGGAGTTTGCACTGATAGTTGATAATCCGGTTCAGGTTTTCTCCCTGCGCTATGTCTTCATTTGCTCAGGTACAGAATATGGGTTGGTTTGGGTTACTAAAGGATGTTAGATATTTTTCTTAGATTTACATTAGGTAGCATCTTGCTCACGTGAGTAGTCAGCGGACTTCATTGGGGTACAGTGGGGTCTTGGTCCATATCTGGGGCCCCTATGCACTAAAATAATACAAATAATTAGTCACATGGGTAAATTACAAGTTAGCAAAGTTGAGCCCCAGGTTAATAAGTTCCAAGATTTTGCAAGCATACAGGATTGCTTTTTGCTCTCGCTTCCTCCATACGCTTAAATATATTAATGTAGTATAAAGAAGAAGAAAAAAGGATAGCAAGATAGAAGGATCAAATGTTCCCAAAACAAGCCCAACTAGTGTGCAACATATGAAAATGTATAATAAAACTATTTTCTATTACTCAAGCTGATTCAACTTCAAAGCATTACTTTCTGTTGCTTGATTTATGTATGTATTTATTTATTTATTTTCTCCATTTACTTTTACATAGCTTGCCTTAGGCTTGCAAGGATTTTAAAGGTGGAGAATGTATGAAAACAAAAATCTCTCCCCCAGCCAGTAATTTCAAACTCTCTCTCAGTTCCACTGAGGACAAAAATATTTACTAAGAAAATTGCTTATGCATAATCGCACAGCACTCATCTCTGCAAGTTAGGGCTGGAATTTGTTCATAGAAGATAGTCATTAAGATTAGATAATTGACTATGAACAGGGGAACTCTATTAACAAACTGCCAAGTCTTTTCCATTAAGGAAAATAAAATGTATGTTGCTTTTAATAAGCTACTGTTTTTTAGTGTTCTGAACATGCATAGTGCTATATAAGTGCTAAGTGTTATTTTAGGGCCTACTCAATCCAGTTTGGTTAGCTTTGATTATTAGAGGCAAGAGCATGACCTGTAGCTCTATGGGCGTGCCAGGGAGTGAAAGCAAAAGAAGCCCATCTGACAACTGTGTACAAAAATAGGGTCACAATCCTCTGGGGCACATAATATCCCAAAGGGGCCAGTGACGAGGGCTGATCCGTTGCCTGATCTTTAACTCTAATACACCTGCCAACAGATCTGGTACTGTGAATGGGATTTAGTGAATGGGCTGCAATCAGAATTTTTCATCAAAATTCCTCCCTGAACCCCCTCTGGGGTGGTATTGCTCCACACCTTTCCTTGTTGAGGCAAGTACTTTTGAAAGCATTATCTCTCTCTCTTTAAAAAAAAAAAAAAAAAAAAAAGTACATTATTGGGGGAAAAAAACTCATGACAATCAAATGAGTTTGGCTTAATTTTAACTGGAAAATCAAATTTCTAATCTTGTATGGCTAACAGATTTGCCCTTGCCAAAGAGAAAGCTATAGGATTGCAGATCAGGCCACAATTCCAGAAACTGTTCAGCAAGAGTTTAGCTGAATTTGTAGTCACAAAGGAATGCATCGCTGCTTGCAACTAAGGAAGTGCTAATGTAACCAAATGAACTATGGAAGGATAATGTAAGTTCACTCAAATAATTCTAATATGTATTTAACAAACAGAAAGAAAGACATCCATGTAGGATGCTTTATCTAATTATATTTTTTGGTGGATGTTATAGTTTTAGGAGCTGATCCTGCAAGCCTTTATGTGGGTGCTTGGCTTTATGCATGTTAGTTCCATTGACTTTAATAGCACTACTTGTGTGTGTAAAGTTAAGCACTTGTGTAAGTGTTTGTTTGCAGGATCAGAGTTTTAATTTTTTGCCACATTGACATGAGGATATTCACTTGCAACCTCTTTATTACTCTAGGAGTTCTTTGTTGGAAGGGACCTCTTGAGGTCCCTTCCAACTCTGATATTCTATGATTCTACGATAAAAGAAAGTAAAAAGATATGTACTAAAGATAATTATTTAACATAAAAGATACATGTTTGGTTTTTGAACTATTATGCAGAGGGGCACACAACCTATAACAAAAATGCTTTTGACATGTTTTTACCAACCAATACACGTCCTGACTTGTGGGGAGAATCTGTATGATACTTGAGTTCCTCTTATATACTATTACTTTCTAAAGTTTTGTCTTAAAACAAACAAAGGATTTCTCTTTCAAATTAAGTGACAAGGACAAGTTTGTATTTACTAAAAAAAATGTCACCCCATAAAGAAACTAGAAAACCCATATTAACAAATAACTGTTTTGCCTTTTTTCTCTATTTATTTTGTGGCAATTGATGCTCCAACATCTATTAAACTAAATAAGTTGAATGCTCTCTTAACTGAATTTGTCTAGGTTTTTCAGTGCATCACTAGTGTTTGAGTACCTCCTGTTTATGATGGCTCAGTTATAAAGATTGTAAGCCATATTGTGCAGAGTAGATGGTCTGTAGGAAGGATGGTCTAGTTACAAGGGCACTGTACTGGGATTCAAAGAACTTAGTTGGTTTCACTTCAGTTTGGTATATAAGTAAGGACAGAATTTGGCTGCATGGGTCCGGTTTGACATCAAACACATTGCATACAGGCATGTTCGAATTCAGTGCAATAATTAAAATGAAAAAAACAAGTTTTACCACAAATAAGGAAAGACATGAAATAATGCAATTAAAATATGGCATAAAATAATTGTTTTATTTTTAAGTTTTATAATTTAATAAAAGCTTGTTCTAAGAGTAAATTCAGAGGATGGATTTGAAAGAGGTAGGCAAGTAATGTGGGTTCTAGGATCAGTAACCTTGTTATTATTGGCATTCCTATGTTGTGCACTTTTAGGTCACAATAATCTATCTTGGCTCCTTCATTCCCTTTTAGTCTATACAGTGCACCTCCTTGCAACAGCATTCATTAGTGTTGGTAAGCAATGGCAATAGGTTTCCTTTGAGTGTCAAGATTTTCCCTAGTTGTACAATCAGAAAGACTGATCCCTTTTCTCCTTTTTTATTGTCCATATTGTTACTGGACAGCTTGTTGATCCAGAAAACCAATGTTATACAGTGGTCTGAATGATCATGCTTGACACACGACATGTAACTGTAGTGGACACTAATTCTGTACGTTAGCATATGTTTCAGAATGAGTGGCAAGGCACTCAGGACCAGTTCTTCAGCCTTCATCTGTGTTGAGTAGAACCATATTCTAGACTACTTGCAGAGTGAGGTACTAGTCAGCATCAGTAACAGTAGCAGAAGTAGTGATGATTTCAGCTGAGCAAAGTGCTACACAAAAACAAAACAACACCCCTACCCCCCCGCCACGTAAAACCCTCACCATTGACCGTACTGTCTCACCAGCACTCATAACACACATGTATGCACATTTCCTCTGGGTTCTGTTTATCAAATATATATAAATAGGAAAAAAACAGTTAACTTTGCTTTTTAAAACATGCAATCCATTAATACTGAAATCCTCTGACTCTTAAGGGTATGTCTACACTGCAGTGTAAGCCGAGGCTTCTGTTTGAACTCAGACTCAAACCTAACCCCCCTTCCATGTACACATAAATCATGCTAACCCAGGGTCCCAGGACCCCACGGGCATGAAGGGTCCAAGCCTGAGTCAAGCCAGGATCTATTGTTCAAGCCATATTGCTTTGCAGTGTAGACACAGCCCCACTGGACTTGTGCTCTGGGAGTTTGCCGAAAGTATCCCACTATCCCCTGGGCCAATTTTCTTTGTCCTCTGGACAGTCAAGTTTGGTGGACAGTCAAGTTTTCCCACACAGCCCCACAAGTAAAGGGCAAGAATTAGCCACATTTTGGGAAGGCACTAGGAAATCTGGGATGTGGGTGGTTGGACTCGGGTCTAGATAATACGTTGTAGACTCTGGAGTCTCAGGTTGGGACCCAAGGTTCAACAATTCCTAGCCAGGGTGGACACTCAAGTCCTAGGTTAACAAACTCAGTGTCTCCAACTCAAGTTCTGCTAACAATGTGCTAACATTGCAGGTTAGACCTAACCTAACAGTGAAATCAGACCTCTGATGAACAAATTAATGGTAACTAAGTGTTCCTATTCAAACTGTTTCTGTTTACATTTAAGTTAAAATGTGTTTGTCTTGACATTTTCCAGCTGATATTGATGACATGAAGATATGCTATGTTTTAAGAGAAGGTGATAACGCCACTAGTGACCTTTTCCATTTTACCGTTGAAGATGGTGGTAAGTACTCAACTTCTAGAACAGCTTTCTGTGGGTTGAACTACCTTGTGCAGATGTTTAGGTTAATTACAGGAAGCTTGTGTAAGCTGTTACTTCACTAGCTTCTGTGCTTTTCAGTATTGTGGACTATTATTATTGTGGCTACAAAGGAGTGGTAACTGTATTCAATGTGAAAATACTTAGACTACTATGGTAAAAGGGTGAAATCCTCAAATCCCACATAAAGCTCAAGTTATGGGGCTTTATGTGGTTTTCCTGCGTATCCCCAACCCAGACACATAGTTGCAGCATAATCTCTCTGTAATTACTGCACCAGTTTATGAGCTGCAGTAGTGACTGCTGCCCTTCAGAAGTCCCATGCTGGGGTTCCTGATCACGGGGCCCAATATCTCTCTTTGCACTCTCCATTAGTACCCGGCCCAAGCCAGGGAAGCTAATGATTCAACCAGCGGACCAAATTTGGTGATGAATCTTGGTACCGTGCCATCTGAAGCATGTTGTGCATATGCTAAGAATCTTAGGAGCCATCATGGATCCAATCTTCTCAGCACACAGGTCGTGTGGAGTCCCCGTTCTGTGTATCCTTCCCCTCAAATCCATTGGGGTTTGGTCACATGCAGGGCCTTACTCAGGGTGATCAGTAACAAACGAATTTCAATAACTGAGAATTTGGAGGTGGAAAATGTTTCTATTTAAAATATATCCAACAGTTGCTCTTCAGCGAAAACGGCTTTACAGTACATAACAAATATTGATACAAGATTTTGGAAACAATATGTGTGAACATAGCTAACATTTTATCAGTGAGTTACATTTTAAGAAATGACCAGAGATCTTTCTAGGTGTAGATGTCCCTATGGCATGGTAGGTGATTAAGTTAGGATGCTTTAGTATATTTTTCAATAAATTAAATTGCTTTATCTGTAACAACAGTGAGTTTTAACTAGTTTAATTTAACACTAAAATCTTTTTTCAAGAACAAAGCTATTTTGAGCCAGATTGTGATCAGCCCTTGTGTTCCATCCACACACACACACAAGAAGCACTGTCCATCTAACAACCAATTGCAATAGCAGTCTCTGTGAGCAGAAACTGCTCAGCTCACCCTCTCCGTAGTTAGCAAATTACCCCAAAGGAGGTTGGCAATAGCCCTGAGCCCATCCTCACTGGCCTGTGGAGTGGGGCAATGCACTGGGGTTGGGGCGCTCTATGCCATCCTTCTGGATGGCACAGAGTGTACCCTCTCCTGTATGTCGGGGATCTGTCTAAGAGATGATGTCTCCTGAGGCACAAATCAGGCTCTTGGAATTAGAGGCCACTTTTCAAAATGTGACTGCTAATCTGTACTGGCCCGTTGACCCAAAGATGAACTAATTATTTATGGCATCAGGCTTATTTTCCCAAAATATTTTAATTAAACCAGTACCTAGATCCGGGGAATGAAAGGTTAAGTACAGATATGTTTATGAAACACTGTGTGGCATATTTTGCATGCAATACCATAGTATTGTTATGGCAAGAGTCACCAAATGTTGTTGTTACACGGAGTCTCCCAAGTTCTTTTTCTTAACGTGTGAGCTCCAGTGTTAGGAAGACTAGCAGTCTGGTGGTATTAGTTTTGTTACGCAAGGCTCTGTGTAGAGGGAGCTATGTGAGCAGCTGGAGAGTTTGTTCTCTGCCTTGGTCTGTGATTAGAGTCAGTTCTTGAGACACACTTGCTCCCTAGGACATGGGCACTGGTGATGGGCAGAGCTTCCTGGTGGCAAGATCTGCCTCTGTAGTGTTTGGCCACTACTGTGGGTGTACAGGTGTAGCTAAAACAAGGTACACATAGCGTACAGCCAGACTCTGTGTCACTAATCTCTCTTTTACTGGGAAGCCAGCTTGCAAAGTCCTGGACATCTGCTGCCGCTTGGCAGAGGGACAACAGTATTTATTGTGTCCAATTGTAACCTGTAATAGTATGGGATTTTTTTTCATAATAATACAAGGAATCATTCTACTTCAAAGCTGATTGTTGATTTTCTAACCCTTTGGGTATTTTCAACAGGGCTCTACCAGATACATTATCATGTTGCACATGCCTTACCTAGGTGGTAAGATAACACTAACATTAATGTCGAAGTCTTTATTTAAACCGTGGAAGACATTGAGTTGAATTGTATTTAAACATATTTTATGAGAAATAGTTGGCTAAAGTTCTTGGAAGGGATGAAATTTGGGACTGAGAAACTAATAGTTTTCTTTGTTTGGAATAATAACTAAATTATACTAGCAGACTCTTCAAGATCTATAATTTCACGTGAGAAAAAAGCAGAAACTTGCCTTTCTAAATTTCACTCTTCCTCAAAAAAAACATCAAAGCCTCTCTTGCGCGGGTCATGTAGAATTTTGGCAGAATGTCAGTGGTGCAGACACATTTGTTTCTATGTTCTTGGTGCAAAGCCAGCTACTTCTGTAAGAATAAACACAACATTAAGGAGTGAAAGATTCAGTACAGAATACCCAAACCCACAATAGAATTATATATGACATGCTTCAGTTTTCTCCTGTCTTGATTTGTCTCCTGAATTAGCATTGCTTTTTGAAATCTTGCAGTAGTAAACAAGGTTGTGATGTCTACTGTGCATTACCTAAAGATGTAAAATAAGTAATTCATTCTTCCTATGGGAACCCATAACTCTGGTTGAGTTGCATCACAGTGCAAACAGTGAAATCAGTCAGAATATTACTTTGATCAAGGAGTGAATGTTTGTTCAAATTACTCCAGAAATATTATTTTAGGAAAGTCAAAGCTGTATTGAACCAAACACTTTCAAAAGTGATATTCTACTAAAGGTGGAGTGGAGTTTTGCTTACTATGTTTGGGAATTCTTTGGGGCAGTCTCTTAAGACAGCAGATTGTTTTATAAGGATGGTCTCTTGCAAATTTCACTATTCTCAGAACAGGAAATAACTATACTATCTCAGATATTACTATGTGGTAACTGTATTGAGGTTTTAATGGTGGTAACTGTTTGTCGTCCGATTTACTTTTCTGTCCTGTATTGGGATCTGCTGGTACATACCCCTATGCCTGTGTGAAGTCCCTTTGACATTAATATGAGTCCACATCGGTGCTAGGGGTCATGCTTGCTGAGCCTGGTGCTGAAACTGGTCTTTGATTATGTATGGGTGGCATAAGAGCCACACTTACCCTTTTTCCTTTTAATCATGCACACCGTAGTGATAGGTGGAAAAAGGAAAAAAAATGTTGGAAATATCATCCTCTTCATATGAGCAAACATTTAAATGTTGTGCATTTTGAAGCTTAACTGCCTGGAATCCCTTGCCATGTTAATATTAACAACAAAGGAAACAATATTGCCAGAAAGCAGGAAAGAACACAGGAGGCAGAAGTGGCAGTGGTAGGAAGAAATGGAAATCCAGGGTGATGGCTGAACTCCTGGACTTTACCCATGTTGTTGGGAGTACATGTTTATGGGATGTACAGTCACAAACTCTTCAGAGACTCCTGTAGTACATAAGTATGTTTATTGGGTTGATGAGGGAGATTCAACCTTAACTAAAAATGTCTGAGCCTTTAATTGGTGAAAGACAGACTCTTTGTGTAATTTATACATAGTGTAATAGATTTATGATAGGCTTTAATAAGTAAGGCAGCTTTACAGTGTTAAAGAAGTCAAATCAACTTGATACATGGTGCCTTCTGTATATGTGTAGAGTTAGCATTTCAACTGTGCAAAATGGCACTAATCCATTTGGAATGAAAGTTAATGCACAAATTTGTTTCAGTTCATTGAGACACTGTTCCTCGCGCAGAAAATTCCACACCATATCCCCATATTCACTATGTGGAGCATTCTTGCTTCTTAGATGAGAAATGACTGAAGTAAATACATGGCTGACAGCTAAGGACTGTATTCTACCTTCATTTTATGCCCAGTGTGCTTCAGATTTACTTTGTGTTCTCTTAATGAGAATGTGGAGCTAAATGTCTGTCTTGTTCAATCTATAAAAAATTGTCATTTTCCTCTTGGAGTTTGGTGCGTGTCTCAAGAAACATCAGACTAGTTCAGATGGGTTACATTGACTTTATGTGCAGATTCTGCTGCTAGTGCAGAGCAAAATAGACAGAACATACCCCAGAATCTGGAACCATAATGTCAAAGTATTGCACAGACATTAACTAATTAATCCTCAAATACCTCTGTAAAATGAGGAAAAATCATTTAACAGGTGGGGGAAAAACATTAATAGAAAAGTTGTCTTATGCCCAGAGTCAAACAGCCAAGAATGCTAGAGCTAATACTGGAGTACAGGCATTGTTTGATCCCAATCCTGTACAGTAACTCCTCACTTAATGTTGTAGTTATGTTCCTGAAAAATGAAACTTTAAGTGAGACGATGTTAAACAAATCCAATTTTCCTGTAAGATTTAATGTAAATGCGGGGGGGGGGTTAGGTTCCAAGGAAATTTTTTGGGGGCAGACAAAAGGCATTATATACTGTACAGTACTGTACTGTGGTTGGGAGGTGCCCCTGGCTTATCCCACACAGGTACAGCCCACTGCAGGCAAGGACGCTAGGAAGCACCTTGTGCAGCAGCAGTGGCAGTTTCCCCCCAGAAGAACAGGCCCTGACTTTGCCAGGGGGATGATCCGGGCCTGCCTCTTCCTGTCCCTGCTCCACTCCAGGCCCACCTCTTCCCACCCCCACTACACCTCCTCTCTGGAGCACACCACATCCCCGCTCCTCCCCCTCCCTCCCAGAAAGTCCTAAGCACCGCCAAACAGCTGTTTGGCTGCGGGGGAAGCGCTGGGAGGGAGGAGAAGTAGGCGGAGAAGAGGAACTTGTGCAATGCTCCCTTGTAAAGTCGCTGCTCTTCCACAGAACCTTACCAACAGTGGACAGAGCAGGCAGCCAAACGACGTTATAAGGGAGCATTGCACAACTTTAAATGAGCATGTTCCCTAATGGAGCAGCGATATAACTTCGAA